AAATATTTTTTTCTGCATAAATATACTACTTTATTTATTCCCTATTGGTGCTACCTAAGTATTTTTTGTTAAGAATTTTAAAGCATTAATTGTATTATTTGTATTTAAATTTAATTTTTATTAAAGTTTCTTAATCTTGTAATATTTTTATAAATTTTATATATTCTTAATATATTAATTTTTATATTTTCAATATATTTATAATACTTACTTAATTGTTGTTTTTATTTTATGAAAGACATATTGCAACGTTTTTTTTACATAAAAGTTTTTATAGAAAATATTTAATAATGTTAATATAAGTTAAATAATAATAAAAATAAAAATTGTAATTAATTCTACTTTAATTTTTACGAATTTATTAATTTTTACAATTTATAAATTTAAAGAAATTTGCGGGAATGGATGATAAATGTCGGACCAATCACAAACCGGGGAGAAGGTGGCCAGACTCTTATTAGAGGGTCACTAGTTTCGGCTTCACATCCGAGCCATCTTCAGTAGTAAATTCGCAAAAGAGCTATGGAAAAGTAGGAAAGAGGTCACTCTCACCGTCAAACAATCAAATCCACATGGTTGGTAGGTCATGTGCAATCGACTAGACGTAAATCGACAAATCCATGATTACAAGATCAAATAATATTACAAGAATAATTGACCATCATCAAACAAACAATAAATTAAAAAATGATTTTTAAATCTTGACCACCACAATGTTATCATTGGATTTATATCGCTTGACTATTTTTTATATTAATTTGTTGTTTGTTTGATGATGGTCAATTATTCTTGTAATATTATTTGATCTTGTAATCATGGATTTGTCGATTTACGTCTAGTCGATTGCACATGACCTACCAACCATGTGGATTTGATTGTTTGACGGTGAGAGTGACCTCTTTCCTACTTTTCCATGGCTCTTTTGCGAATTTACTACTGAAGATGGCTCGGATGTGAAGCCGAAACGTATAGTAATCTTATATATGATATTTTTTAATTGTGAATAAATATATATTTTTTATAATTTCGCACTACTAACAGCGATTTTACTCTCATTAGCCTATTTATTCTATTTATTTGAATATCACCTAATTAAAAAAATTAAAAAATTAACAAAAAACTATATAAACACTAAAAAATCTAAAAATTTAAAAACTAAAAAACTAAACAAAATTAAAACAAAAAACCTAAAGAAAACTAAAAACTGAATAATGACATAAAACTTAAATAACTATTAAAACAACAAAAAATAAAAAAATTTAACACAAAAATGGAAACTTTACAAGAATTAGTTTAAAAAACAAAAACTCCCGACTGCTGCCAAAAGTGAGTTACATTAACAAACTAAAAAACTAAAACTTAACAAACTAATAAAAAGAAAATTTTTTTAATTAACAGAAAATAAAAATAAGAAAATAATAAAAAACTAAAAAATTGGAAACTAATGAAAAACTAAAAATTATTTAAAATATCTGGTTTAAAAAGTTTAAAATAATTTAAAAAGATAGATTTAATTAGTAACAATATACATAAGTCGTAGAAATCTAGTTTAAACAGTTTAAAATAAGGGTTGCAACACATAATAAAAAATATACATTAAATAAACCAGTTTAAAATAATAAATAAAGGTATAATTTTTCTAAAAATTTAATAAAAATAAAATATAAAAAGTAAATACAAAAACTGGACCTCA